AGGATTCTCCCCACTTTGGCAACTTTTTAAAGACTTGTGGACTTCAACTCCCAGAGTTCCTCAGCCAACTTTGCTGGGAAGTTGCCGAGGTTGGAGACCCCTGATTTAAAAGGCACTGCCAATCCCCATAATGCCCCGCGCTGCTTGAGGGAGAACTTGCTTGCTGGGACTGCTCGCCCACCAAGGCTGACAGGAGGCCCCCCAGCCAGAGGGCCGGAAGTGGTGCTAGACGGAAGTCTTGCTTTCTCCTTCCCATTACCGGCCCCCCTGCGTCTTCCTCTTTTTTTTTTTAATTCGTCCCTTCCTATTGGTCCACAAAGAGGTCGCGCGGGTCAATCTTCCTGGCCCAGCCCAATTCGCGGAGACGGTTGAGTGGTGCTGGGGGTGGGTGGGGAATCAGCAGTCCGCGGGGCGGGCCCTCCGCTTTGTCTGCTGTTGTTAGGGTCGAAGACGGCGCCTGATTGGCTGCCGGGCAAGGTCGCTGCGCAGCTGATTGGGGACCAGCCCCGCGGGAGAAGCCCATTGGTGGCGGCGGCGGCGGAGGGGCGGGAGCCGCTCCGGGAGCTATGGCGGCGGCGGTGGCAGCATTGGCGGCGGCCACCTGGGGGGCGAGGGGAGCGGGGAGGAGGCGGCGGCGGGGCGGGATGGAGGCGAGGCGGTGCCCGGGCCTGCCGTAGGGCCGCCATGGAAGCGCCGCGGCCGCCTCCGTCGGGCAGGGAGGCGCAGTCCGGGTGGGGCGCGGCGGCGCTGCTGGGCCGCGAGCGTCAGGTGAGGCGCAACGGCGGCGGCGGCGGCGGCGGGAGAGCGGGGGAGGCGGGGCGGGCTGATGCTGCTGCTGTGTCCCGGCAGGCCCGCGAGCTCTGTCCCGGCGTGAGGAGCCAGCCGTACGTGTGCGAGACGGGCCACTGCTGCGGCGAGACCGGCTGCTGCATCTACTACTACGAGCTCTGGTGTAAGCGGGGCGGGGCGGGGCAGGGGCGGCGACGGCCTCCTCCTCCTCCTCCTCCCGTCTCACCACCGCCCGTCTCCCCCCCCCATCCCCTCCCCGCAGGGTTCTGGCTGCTCTGGACGGTCCTGATCCTGTTCAGCTGTTGCTGCGCCTACCGGCACCGCCGCGCCAAGTTGCGCCTGCAGCAGCAGCAGAGGCAGCGCGAGATCAACCTCATTGCCTACCACGGTGCCTGCAACTACCCGCCCTCCGCGGGGGAGCTCCGTAAGTGGCCTCCGCGCCCAGGAGGGGTGGGCCGAGCGACCCTCTCAGCCTGCCCCCAGGCCCGGCCCTGAGCTCTGCGCCTTTCTTTCCTTGCAGGGATGATGGCTTCCTTCAAGCTGCCGGCCTACGAGGAGGTGGCCCGGCGCCCCGCCACCCCACCGCCCCCCTACAGCGCCGCCGCCACCTCCGCCCTCCTCGGGGGCTCCAGCACCTTCACGCTGAGCGGCAGCTCCGAGAACTGCACCAGCTGCTCCTGCGAGTCCAGCTGCCTGACCTCCCCCGGCAGCACCTCCCTGTCGGCCACCGAGTCCAGCAGCCCCAGCGAAGCGGAAGCCGAGGAGGGTGGTGGTGGCGGAGCAGGCCCCGCGGGGGACAGCTGGGAGCTCCCGGCTGCTGCCACCAAGAGCGCCCTCTTCTCCTCCCACGACGTGGAGCTCTTCGAAAGCGACTTCCAGCGCCTCTCGGAGGAGGAGGAGGAGGAGCCCTATGCCCGGGAAGAAAACGCGCGGCACCGGCGCCTGACGGGGGACTCCGGGATCGAGGTGGGCCGAGGCCAGGATGAGGAAGAAGCTGCGAGTGAGGAGGAGGGGACGACCCGTTTGCTTGGCAAAGGGGCGGCCTGCAGGCAGCAGGGGGAGCCCTCTGAAGGGGCCACCGAGGAACTGGCCTCCTCACCAACGTTGCCTGTCTGAACCGGGGCCTCTTGTGCTCGGCTGCCCCAGCCACCTGGAAGACTGAGCTGCCTTTTGTTCACTGCGGAGAATTGCGCCTTATCCTCACTTCCCTGCCCAGAGGGACAGACGGACACCTGCTTGATCCTCTCCTGCTCTGCCATTTCCGCTCCCTCCTTAGTGCTGCCTTGGGAGCTTTCTGGGGACAGGAACCCAGAGCCCTTGCTGGCAGAGAGGGGAGCTACGTGCTGGATCTTAACTGTAGTGATAGCTCTGTGTGTGTGTGTGGTTCCTGCTGTGCTCCAGCTTTGATGTAAGGCATGGCGTAGTAGGTGAAGCCCCTCCCCATTTCCAGGTTGCATTGGGGTTTGCTGGTTGCATGGAGAGATGGCTGTGGCCAACACCGATTCTGCCCTGGGAGCGGGGAGCTGGCCTTCCTGTTGGCCAGTGTCCTACAGGAGCCTGGTCGCACTGTGTGCTTCTTATTAAACAGACAAGGAAAATCCTGACTCTTGGAGGCCCTTTCCATTGCGCGGTGGGGGGGAGGGAACCAATGCAGTAGTTCCCAAACTTTCAGTCCACCCCCCCCTTGGTGCTACACACTCATCCTCTGTGCCCCCCACCTGGGGGTGGGATTCAAATTTCTGGGGTATGACCTAATTTGAGGGTGTGGCTTGGTGATCACATGACTGGCTGGGTGTGGCTTGGTCACATGACCAGGTAGGTGTGGTTTGGTGGGTGTGGCCAGGTGACTGGCAAACCAAATACAAGTGGTCCTCACTTCATGGCCGGTTGTTTGGCAAGTGTTCTAATTTACAAGTGGCCTTCCCAGAGCTGCTTGACCCGTTTTTGGATTTTTGACAAACATGCGCGTGCACATACACACACACACACACACACTCCCAACCCTGCTGGAGCAGGTCATTGGACTAGAATCGGCAAAACATCTCTGATTAGATACTAGTAGTGAATAAAATCTAATCAGAGATGCTTTGCTGATTCTTGTTGATTTATTTGTATTTATTTTATGTTGCTGAATTGCATTGACGCGTGTCCCTTCTTGTGCACAGCCCAGCCTTTGTGATTGTTTGCAGCAAAAATTACCAGCTTTGCTCTACTTTTCAAACATGCCGGCACTGCCATGTTCTAGGTGCCGGCCCCGCAGGTCCACCCCATTGAGCCCGCTGCACTGAATCGACCTGCCCAAGCAAGTCTGAGCGGAGCAGTGCACCAAGTCAATGGGGTGAGCCTGAGAGAAAGAGAGAGAAAGAAAAGAAAGGGAGAAAGAGAAGGAAAAAAAGAGAAAAAGAAAGAAAAAGGGACAAAGAGAGGGGGAGATGGAAGGGACAGAAAGAGAAAGAAATGAGGGAGGAGAAAGATATCTATTCTAGTCCAATCACCTGCCCCAGTAGGGTTAGGAGGGAGTGTGTGTGTTCTTGTAATTTACCAGTATATTTTGGTTTTGCCTTCTTCAGAATTGGCACTATAATTCATTGGGGAAAAGTAATTTTTTTAGGATGGAGGTCTGGTCCAATGGATCCTGTTTAAAGCCTCAACAAAATGTGAGAGCTTCCTGATAGTCTTGACCATGTTTCGTCCACAAAACCTTTAATAGAAGCCAAAGATGTTTCAATGTGTAAAAGGGCCTCAGTCTAAGCTAGGCCACATTTCAGTCTGATGCATCAGGTCTCCCTCCCAGACTGGCTTTGCTGTACTTTCCTGATGTGCCTTGGAGCTGGCGCCTTGAACATGGATGGATGGAGAGAGACAGATAGGTAGGTAGATATATTGATAGGTAGGCAGGAAGACAGAGAGACAGACAGACCTTTTGGATGGATAGATGGATATATTGGTAGGTAAATATCGGCAGGTAGATATATACATCAATCCATCTATCTTCCTACCTGCCTACTTACCAATATATCTAGCTACCAATTTCTGTGGATGGGTAGGTAGGTAGGTAGACAGACCTTTTGGATGGATAGGTAGGTAGATAGGTAAGAAGGCTTTGACCACATGCCCAATATCCAGGATCCTGATCAACCGAGCCCACCCCTCTTTGTAGCTGCCGTGCCTGACAGCAAGTTCACAGGCTGCCCCTCCCACCAGGGATCAGCCTCCCAAGTGCCCCCCCCCCCGGCCCTCACGTCATAGAGGGCGGTGCTGTTCCCTGCTTCCTGGAGCCAGTACAGGGCAGGGCTGAGGAAGCCCAGGGTAGGCAGCAGTGCAGTGTTGGAAAAGTAGAGCAAAGGTGTGCCACCGCCGCTGTGTTCGAGGTCCCGGCCCCGCAGGCACATCTGGAAACATCAACTCCAGAGTCGGCACTTCAATGGGTGAACCTGCAGGGCCGCTTGGTGCCTCAAATGCCCCACCACCGCCTCTTAGCACCTCTCTGCCGGCCTCCTTGGGGATGCTAAGGGGTGGCAGTGGGGCAGCGCGTTGAACGCGGCCGCTGTGGCGCGTAACGTGCCACCGCTTCTGCATTGGAGGCACCAGCTCCGGAGTGGTGCTATAGTCAATGGGTGAACCTGCAGGGGCAGCGGCTCAAACGCCCCCCTGCCAGCCCCCTTGCCTCTTAGTGCCCCCCCCAAGGCATCCCACCGCCCCCCAAGGGGTGGTACCACTCACTTTGGGAACCACTAAACCAATGTAACATCCAGCCGCTGTGCAGATCTTCCTGCCAGGTTCACCCATCAAGTGAAGCTGCTCTAAACTGGCCACGGAGGCGTTCCTTTCACCTGGTGGGGGAAGCAGGCCATCGGCCTGAGCTGGGTTAAATGCGTCAGTCAGCACACCCTTGCCCTTGGCCCCAGTTTAAGCATCTTTGACATGGTCATCGGTTTAAACCTTCCCTTCTCTCAAGATGGGGCTTCTCCCTAGTCTTGCCTTTCCCCTCCTCTCAAGGTGCCAGCTAGACTGTGCCACAATCGGTGAGTTGCGCTTTATGCGCTTGAGAGATTCTGTGGAAGAGCGGCTTTTACACCGAAGGGGTTTTTATCTCCTTTGGTGGGGGTGGTAAAACACCCCCCCCCCCCAAATTTCTATAGGGCCCACCCCCCCTCCTGTCCAGCCGTCCAAAAACTAGGGATGCCTTTGCTGCCCAGGCTTCCAAAGCTTTTAAGCTTTTGGGCTTTATTTCAATAGAAAATTTCTTACATTCAGGCACCGCCCACCTCCCCGAGTTGAAGGCGAAGCAGGGCAGGGGGAAAGGTCAACGCCTGCGTCCCTTTGTCAGGATCCTGCGGCTGAGCCTCCCAGGGAGACAGGAGCATCAGCGGGCCAATCAGTATTCCTCGGCCATCATGAGCACAACCAGAGCTGACCAGCCCGTGAAGGGGTAGCACCCTTGCCCTCGGCCCGTGCTGTCGTTATACTGCTCCCAAACGTAGCCAGAGTGCAGGTACTGTCGGAGAACGTTGCCTACCACATTGGCGCGCAGCTCGTGGTACAGCCTGGTTACCTCCTCCCGGTAGGGCCCCTCCACTCGGCTGTAGTGGTGCAACGCCCGCACCGCGAGGTAGTTCATGTTGATCCAGATGGCTCCCCTCCAGTAAGGGGGGTCATGCTCCGTGTTGCGCTTGAGGTAGAAGGGGCTGCTGCGCGACAGGGAACGCAAGCCAAAGGGTGTCCACAGCTTCTGCTCGTTCTTCATGTCGGCCAAGAGGCTGCCCAGCTGCCGGGAATCGGGGGGCAGGAGCTGCAGCAGCAAGGGGAAGAGGCTCACGTAGCCAAGGGCCCCTCCCACAAACTGCAACCGCGGCAACTTGCGGACCACCCGTACCAGCCTTGGAATGGGCGGGGGCTGGCCAGGAGCGGGCCGAAGGTGCTCGCGCTCCAGGGCCACAGCCAGGGTGTGGTTGCCGTAGTCGGCAAAAGCACCCATTGTCTCCGACCAGTGGTGCCGCTCCAGCAGTTCACTGTCCGCCAGCCTCTCGGCCATGTGCGCGTAGTCGCTCCCTGGTTCTCCCACTCGCGTGGCCACCTCGGCCATCACAGCAGAGGCGACGGCCATCCAACAGCGCAAATCCAGGTGGCGCTCCTCCTCCGAGGGGTGGGAGGCCCTGGGATAGTCGTCCAGGCCAGAGGTCAAGGTTTTAGGATTCAGGAAAAGCTGAGTGTCCCGGTCCCGGCCACGCCATCGGAAGGTGTAGGGCAAGGCTCCCGCCTGCGTGCGATTGTACCAGTCATACCAACTTTGCAGGCGAGGATAAATGCGGCGGAGGTAATCCTGCTCCACTGCCCCTTGCCCAAGCAGCTGCTGCAGCACCAAGAAGAAAGTGGGGGGGTTGCCCGCCTGGCTGTGCTGCACCACAAACTCCGGGGGCACCTTTGCCAGGGCTTCGTCCCCCAGGATCTGCTCCCGCGGAATCCATCCCTCAGCGTTCATGAGGTCAAACCAGTGAGCCATCACCTCCTGGCTCAGGGCCGGGTCCCAGCGGGCCAGGAGGAGCTGGTGGAAGCCTTCATCCCACAGGAAGCCCCGGGGAAAGAAGGAGCGGGAGGGCACGGCGGTGAAGAGAGCCCCCGCGGGGTACAGCTGGGGGACTTCCGTGTGCGGGGACTGCACCAGCGAGCGCCCATAGAAGTAGCCCATCCCACCCAGCATGTTGCTGAGAAGAGCCCGGGCGAAGTGCTGCTCCTGGCTAGAGAAGCCCTTGCGGGAGAGGCCGAAGGTCTCCTCAAAGCGCCGCTTGAAGGTGGCCGCGTGTTTCTCCAGCTCTCGCGTCAGCGTGTCTGCCAGGAGCCGGTCTGGGCGGTCAGGCACGCTGCCTGACTCAAAAGCCACTTCCACACGGCAGGGCACAGCCACCGTCACCTGGTGGACTAGGAGCTGGCTGCGTAACTCTCTGTCCCCAGCTCGGCCGTGGTAGACGTCCACGCCAAAGTAGTGGCGCTTGGGAAGCCCAGGGGGAGCGTAGGAAAACCGCGGGGTCAGGCTCGATTTCACCACGTCAGTCAGGTGATGCAGCCCTTCTGCCATCGCCTGCAGGTGATTGTACCTAGCGGGAGAGAGAAGGATGTGGGAAACCTGTGTGCCAGACTCTGCCCCCTCGCTTCCCGAGTGGCAGTGTTCCCATACCTGGCATAAAGCGGGGTGCCGGACTCCGTGGTGGGCGGCTGGAAGGTCACAGTGAAGTTCCCCAGTTCTTCCGTCCATCCTCTTAGCAAGGCCAGCCGACTCTTTTCCTCTATCACAGGCTGCAGCGTTCCTTGCCCATCGGTGGCCACGTAGAAAAAGAGAGAAACGAAGGGGGGCTTGGGCTGCGTCCTCTAAATGCGCAAAGATGACACAAGGAAACAAGACAACACCCGTTAATGTCTGGCTTCCCTACAGCTGTGGTTGTAACTGGACCGCAGAGAGAGGAAGAGGAAGGGAGGGAGAGAGGGAGGGAGGGAGAGAAAGAGAAAACAGCCTTTATTTGCTTCTTTTTGTCACAATGAGGACAAAACTGGAGAGGCGGGGACAGAATCGGAGGTCACACAAAACCCTTTCCAGTCCCCAGAGGCTGCAAGCTGAACTTCCAAACTTGACCTGGCAGGGCAGCCACGTTGCTCAGCCAAGCAGCCTGAAGGCCACGCAACCCTCCTTGTCCCCACCAGTAAAGAAGTGGAACAGATGCACCATCACGAGAAACAAGTTTCACTAAGGCAGGGATGTCCAAACTTGGCCACGTTAAGACGCGTGGACTTCAACTCCGAGAATTCTCCAGCCAGCTTTGTCTTAAAGCGGCCACGTTTGGGGAGCCCTGGACTAAGGGAATCGGGGTCCCCTTTCTCCCCAACTCACTTCTGGGCGAACCGTCACCCTCCAGCTCCAGTCTCCGCCATGCTCCCCGCCGGGACGCTTCACCATCTCCGTCTGCAGGCTGAAGCCCAGGTCTTGGATCTCCTGCACCCCGAAATGGGCGCCGTCGTGAAGCAGCCAGCCGTAGCGAGGGAGGCCGTCGCTCTGCTCGCAGGTGTGCCGCAGCCGCACGTCCCCCTCCAGCTGCTGCAGCCACATCAACCCTGTTGCGGGAAGGACCCACACAACTGACGCCCGGCAGCAGCAAGCGGGGCGGGCAGCCGCTCGGAGGCCTCTCCCCAGCCTCCACCCCCCCCCACCCCGCCACAGCCCCGGGCGGGCGACGCTCACTTACCGACCACCGGCGAGCGCGGGCTGCGCGTCTTCATGCCGAAGTAGACCTGGGGCCGGTAGGAGCCCCAGAAGCGGGCCGGCGCGGCGTCGGGGCCGGTGCTGCCCGGAGGGAGGGCGCGGGGCGCGGCGTGCGGGGCCACGAGGCGCGCGGCGGGCCCCCACCGGGCGTAAAAGCCCCAGCCGAGCGCCAACAGCAGCAGCACCACCGCCGGCAGCGCCAGCAGCGCCGGCCCCGCGCCCGACCCCGTCCGCTCCCGCCGTCCCCCGGCCCCGCGCGGGACCCTCTCCTGCGCCCGCCCGCCCTCCGGGCCCGCCCGCCGCCGCCGCTCGCGCGCCATCCGTCCTCGTGCTCCCCGGCCGGGCGACCGGCCACCAACGTGTCCCGGGAGCCTTTCCCGGCAGGCCCCGCGCCGCCTTCAGCGCCCCGGGGCGCTCTGGGAAGGCGAGTACCTGCCGCTCGGGGCGTGGTCCCGCCCCCGCAGGGAAAGGGGTGGAGCTTATTTGTCCGCGCCTCCCCGCCCCTCAGTTGCGCAAGAGCGGGCCCGGCGGCTGTCCGCTTCAGGCCGGAGGGGCAACCGGCGCTCGAGACCGACAGCCGGCTGGCCCCAGTGGGGGAAGAGCTGGGAAGGCGAGGCTGCGCCCGGGCACCCGCCTTAATCGGGAGCGAGGCGACTCCGCTTTGGGCTTGCAGGGCGGCGCCTCTCCTCCTCCGGCTGTTGCTTAGGAGGCGAAGGCGGCTTGTTCCGAGAGCGGCCCTGCCTTTCTTGAGCACGATCCTCCCCCGTTTTCTCCTCATGATGTAAAAAGAGGCGAATCTTATCGCCGCCTCTGACAAAAAGGACTAAATCGGTCAACCAGGGAAATGACAGATTTGGAAGGGACCTTGGAGGTCCTCTAGTCCAACCCTCTGCTCAAGCAGGAGAACCATTTCGGACAAATGGTAGCAGTCTTCCAATATTTAAGGAACCACAAAAAAGGAAGCCGACCTATTCTATGAAACAGCCGAGCACGGAAGAGAAAGCAACTGATGGAAATTAATCAAGGAGAAATTAGCAACTACCTGTGAAAACGATCAGTGGGACGACTTGCTTCCAGAAGCTGGGGCTTCTCCAACACTGGAGGGTTTTAAGAAGAGATTGGACCGAAATGGTATAAGGTCTCCTATTTGAGCAGGGAGTTGGATTGGACCTCAAAGGTCCTTTATTATTCTGTCAAAATCTCAAGTGATAATACTGCTTTATATCAGAATGGTGATAGTTCTGATCACAATACAGACAAAAAAAGACCCGCAGGGTGCAGAGAAGAGCAAGGGAGATAACGGGTCTAGAGGCTAAATTGTATGAATGGTTGAAGGAACGGGGTTATGTGTAGCCCTGAGGTCTCCAACCTTGGCAACTTTTAAGACTTGTGGACTTCAACTCCCAGAGTTCCTCAGCCAGCTGTCAGGAATTCTGGAAGTTGAAGTCCACGACTCTTCAAAGTTGCCAAGGTTGGACATTCCTGGGCTAGCCTATTGAAAAGGAGTAGGGTAGGGAGGGACATGACTATCATCCAGTACCTGAGGAACCATCACAGAACATGGTCTTCAAAAAATAGACTGGACAATAGTTTGACCACAATGGTTTAAGGCTCCTGCCTTGACCAGGGGGTTGAAGACTCGGATATCCCTTCCAGCCCTATGGTTTTATGATCTAAATCAGGGCTCTTCCAACTTGACAGCTTTAAGACTTGTGAACTTCAACTCCCAGAATTCCTCCTCCAGTCATGTTAGCTCAGGAATTCTGGGAGTTGAAGTCCACAAGTCTTAAAGATGCCAAGTTTGAAGACCCTCGTTCTAAATCTATAATTTCGCAATTGAGCATCTCATGTGAAAACAGCTCTTCCCTTGAATCTGTTCAGGAGTTCCAGCTGCACGTTGAATCCTGTTCATTTTGGGGGGTTTGCTCTTCCTAAGACACTCTACAATCCGTGTTTTTGCGAGCCAGATGCCACTCTTACTTCAAAAAAAAAAAAAAAAAAAAAAAAATGGCCAAAGAGCTATGCTGTTTGCAGCCGGAGACAAGAAGCCGGAGTCCTTTTGAGTAAAATCATTTATTTTCATTTCCCATTAGACTCACCCGTCCCTACCACCTTTGCCTGCAAGACCACTAAGCAGTTTGGCACAATTCCCTCCCATGACGATGTCCACTTGCTCGGCCTCTCCGCCAGTCGTGGGCAGCGCCAAGCAGAAGCAGCTCCCCTCTTGAACTCAGGCAGAATTAGCCCTGCGCTGCTCAGCTGCTACTCCCTCAGCCCTCAAACCCAGCCGCCACCACCACACACCCCGCGCCTGCATCTGTGGGTGGCATCGGGGCTTCAAGGGGTCCCGGGATCAGGAGGTTCTTTGGCTGCAGGGAGTCCAGCTGACTTCCTTCCCCACAGTACCTTGGAACTTAGCTGCACAAGGCAGGAACCGACTGCTCTGCGCTAGCCAGAGGCTGTGAGGGAGGTGCCCGTCCTCTGCCTCCTCAGCCCTGCTGCCCAGCAGGCCCAAACAGCCCCAACATTTACCCCTGCAGCAGTTCCAGCTAGCCTGAGGCTTCCTGAGATGCATTGCTGGTGCCCTGCAGGAGAATTCTCCCCCTTCTATCGAACCACCGGCCCCCATCTGTCAGGCAAAAAGTGCAGGCTTCCCCAGCTCGCCTCCCTGATAAAGCTCGCCCGCCTGCCCGCTGGACACGCTGTTCGGGGGTGGGGGAGGGAATGGTGGGTGCTCAGCAAAGGTTTCTGGGCTCCTCTGTTGACTGGCAGGTCTGGCTGAGTTGAAGGCATTGCTGGGGAGGGGGGAGGAGCAGTGGCGGGGGGGGGGGGTGCTGAAAGCTTCCAGTTATTGCTTGATTTGGCCGCCGTCTCCTTCACTGACAAAGCGCTTCCGGCCCCTGAGGAGGAGGAGGAGAAGGGGAGTTAGAGGCAGGGTAGGATGACCAGCATGTCCCTGGGGGCTGTTCGTATAGGCCAGGCGTTGCCAAACTTTTGGACCTCAGGGACCATCAAACTCATTATTTTAAATCCCGTGGACCACTAATGTGAATTTTGACTAGCGGGGCTTGCTAACGTTGGTGGGAGTGTGAGGGAGATCTCTCTCTCTCTCTCTCACACACACACACACACACCCCTTTCACACACACTCAACCCCTCCAAGGCAGCCACATTCCTAGCCTGCTTTTGAGCTCTGTTCTTGGGGGGGCGGAGAGACTTTTGTCTTCATGCAAGGAAAGCAGCAGAAGCAGCAGCCGTTTTTCTTTCCCTCCCCCCACAAACTCCACCAGAAAGGAGTCTTTGCGCAGCCTCTGGGAGCAGGATGCCTTTGCGTGCAGCCAAAAGCAGAAGAAGAAAGAAGCAGAAGTAACACCCCAGTGGCCAGGCAAGTTCCCACCCCCCACCCCCCTCCGCCCTTTCCCCGCTCCCCTCACTACCTCGTGTTTTCCTAATGCGACACGAGCCTTGTGTTCCCACAGGCCACGTGGGCAGCGCAGCCTTGTGTTCGTCCGCAGCCTGGATTAATTGCTTTGGGGAGAGTGCTTTGGGGGTGACACTTCTCTGCGGACCACCAACATTTTCTCACGGAACACCAGTGGGCCGCAACCCACCGGTTGGTGACCACCGGTACAGACCACCTGATCTTCTCGTCCCAACCTGCTGCCTCTTGGGCCCTCAAGCGTGAGGAACAGCCCTCAAGGAGGAACCTCTGGACACAACACCTTTCTAAGGTAGCCATTTGGGGTGCGGGTGGGAAGGTCAGTCCTTCTCTGAAGCCAACAAGGTGTCGTTGTCTCCCCACCCACCCGCTTGGGTGGGACCTACCGGGCAGGGCAGGTCTCTCTCAGCTGCCTGGTGATGACACCCTCCTCGAAGCAGAGGTCCACCATCCGCTCGAGGATGCTGTGAGCCAGCGGCACGTCCAAACTGATGTCTCCAAGCTCATCGTAGACCCGCTGGAAGCCCTGAGAGAGGAGGAGGGAGAGAGAGAGAGAGAGAGAGAAGTGGCGGGGGGGGAGGGGGAGGCGCTTGCTGCAGGCGGGAGCCAATGCCAGCTCCCTCTACGGCCCTGCAGGGTGGAGCCCCTCCGGGCCTTACCCGGTTCATCTGATCCAAGGTCACCAGCCCCGTCTGCCACAGCACTTTCAGCAGCTTCACCATCATGGCGACAGCCGTATCTCCCGAAGACTCCATCACCATCACCACAGCCTGGCACAAACACCCCCAGGGGGGGTGGGGAGAAGCACCATGAGCACCCAGCGAGAGTGGGCAAGGCAGGGGTTTCCGAGGGCAGCCAAACAGGCCCAGGATGCCAAGGGGGCCAGAGCTCCCTGTCCTGGGCCGGGCAAGCCTGATCGTGGCCTGTTCCCTTCCCACCAGCTCCAGCAGAGCTCCCGCCCCCCCTTCTTTACCTCATAGACAAGCTCATGGTGGAAGTGGGGCACCTCGAGTTGGCGCAGGCAGCGCTCGGCCTCGGACACCTCTCCGGAGAGCAAGTATTCACGCAGGAGGAGGTTCATCTGCGGGAAGGGGAGTTGTGGGGGTCTGCAGTCCAGTCAGGCCTCTGGTGCAGCTGCTCAAGACTTTTTGGAGGGCGGAAGAGCTCTGCGCCAGGACCTCCCCGCCCCGGGGGTGTGTGGATGGGTTCTGCCTTCAGGATCTGACTGCTGGTGTCTCACAGCTCCCTCCTCCCTTTACAGTTCCTGTGTCTAAACCTCATCCCCACCCCTCCACCCACTTCACAGCACACCGCCCAGTCCCTCCTGAGGTCCCCAAGGCCCTTCTAGCTTCCCCCTCTCCTTTATTCTATGGATCTGAGCAGTCCTTCCTAGGCAGAGAGCTGCTCTGTGTTTCACCAGTGCATTTTAATATGTCTTCTGAACTGCGCCACCTTGAATTCATTAACTTAAGATTAACGGTTGCTGGAATTGGTTCCTTCTTCTCCTGCAGCAGCTTTGGGTGCTTGCTTCCCTCCAGCAGACCCCGGCACGGAGCAGCCTCCCTCTCTCCCTCCCTCTGCATGCTTGGCCCCAAAGACATCCCTCGGTCAGTCGCCCCATCTCCAACCCCATGCATCCGGGCAGACGGCCGAGCATCCAAGGGCCGCTCAAGAACTGCCGGAGGGGCAGTAGAGGGCAGACCGAGCGCCCCCCACCCCACTTCCAGCTCTTCACCTCCTTGATCAGGTGCTTGACTGGCCTCTGGCCGCCCCCCACGCCCCACACGTTGTCCAGCCGGTTGACGTCTCGCTTGATGCGCAGCAGGACGGCAGCACAATCCAGGGCAGCCCTGCAGGGAGAGGAAACGCGTATCCAGCAACTGTGTTTCTCTCTCACACACACTCCCTGTT